ATCAATTTTTGTTTAAATTATCAACAAACTATCTTGCAATGTGGGTATTTGACATTTTAATAAATGTATTATTTGCATTCTACTCGCTATTGAGAACTTTTGTGAATTGAACTCCGTCCACCTTTATTCTGACGCGGATTAATGCTAAAGTTATTGCTTGTTTCACACATAGAAATAATTCCTTTCATAACTGCTTTCACCAACGTCTAGTTAAAATCCTGACTATGCTATTGTTTTTCGCAATTAATTTAATTGATTTTTTCTCGTACGGTGTTGTGCAAGAAAAAGCTTTGTTACTACTAAGCAAACTTGCTTTCATTAATTAAAGATGCGTAGATGCAAATTTATTATAAAGACTAATGATTTGTCATAAAAGATGACCAGATGGTTGTGAGCCACTGTTTCCATTCGATTCCAGGCCTTTACGTTGCTAAGCAGTTGACGATTTTTATTGTCTTCATATTAGTATAATCCTCCCCCCCTTTTACTCCCACAGAATTTCATGCTTACTGAAGGTACTATAGAGACCGTGATGTAAGTAGACGGTTCTTTTGAGGAATCTCCTAGAGAAAAGGCAAGCTAAGAAGAGGTGCAGTTAATTGTATAAAAGATGGAAGTAGGTGCCAAAGGATTAGAGAATGCTGTGGATAAGAGGCAACGACCATCTACCCAATATGCACAAGATGTTCCACCCCGAGAGGTAGTCGTAAAGCTGCTTTTATGGTGTAGCACGAAACACATTCCCATGGATCACTTAATTTTCTTTCCACTTATTTCAATGTCCTCCATGCAGTGCAGAGCTCCTTAATTTACTTCATTTTAAATTCCCTTTATTTGCTAGCCCAGAATTTCTACCTTTCCTTCAAAATTATCGTCACGAAATTAGAAATTAGATTAGATCAAATTCAAACAGATCGATTAGTGGCAGCTCAATCAATTGTGAATTCGGAGGGGGGGGGGGATAATTGCTTTCCCATTAATACGGAATTCCCACACTTTCAAATGTCAAAATTTCAAACATTGCATTTAGTCCAAAATGAACTCGGAAATAAATGAATAAAATTGTCACTTTTGCCAACGGCTTTTTGTGATTGCTTTCCCTGATAAAACACAGTTTTAGTAAAATTATTCCTATTCCATATGTGAGAAACATGGTCATCTTTTATAGGTGAAACTTCGAACGGCTCCTGTAAAGAGCATGAAACGAGAGTGAGGATTCAGATAGCACAAATTCTTCTCTGTTTAATTTGCGAGTAGTGTTCTTGCATAAAGAACACTGCATGGATCAGATTATAGTGATTCTTTATAAGTCATATCATCTTGATTAAGCTGTATCTTGCAGCCTGTATACTATATCTTCCCATTTTAATCAAGTGTTAAATTTTTAAACACCTGAATCATATCCAATCACACGCACTGGAGTACGAAAAAGACTTGAAATCTTATAAATCAGTGATTTTATCACCTACGCTTTACAGTCAAATTTTCCATGCCTGCATGCAAATGACAAATATTTTGAGAATTTTACTGTATAATAAACTATAAGTACTTGTTTCTTTCTGTTTGTGTCTTCAGGTGAAGCCGAGTACACAATGATTCCACCCTCTCCAATGTTCTCTCGAGCCACTTCACAGCAGGCCATCGAGGAAGAACGCGTGGAGAGACTGGAAGCCGACAGGGTGAATCAGAAGCCAATTATGCGAAAGCAAAAGTCAAACGGTGCCTACAACTACGGCGGTGCTAGATACTCTGATAAGCATTCAGTTGTCTCTGGTAAATACTTCTCTTTTTACCTTTTTTGCCTGGAATTAATTTTTCCTCTGGTGAAACAACAACAAAAAACTCCATGACCTTGATGACATTTCCTTAAAATTCGCCAATTTAGTGATAAAAAAGGTTATCTTTCTGGTAGCAAGAAACGTGCCTGTTAGTAAGGTGGAATTAAGACTGATAAAATGTTGATGTTGTTGTAGTTGCTTTTTAAGCAGGGATAAAATTGAAGAGATTAAGACCTTCTTCTGTTTTTATTACTTACTTTTCGGATAGACTTTTTCCTACTTAAAATACCAATAATGAGTCATAGGTGTTTTTTCTCAGGTTTACCAATAATTGGTGAGTTTGCTTTTTCTCAACCCTCCCCC